TTGGTTTTGTTGTAACTGTGTGAATTTTAACATTATCACATATTTGCTTTTGTTTACTTCTTCTTTTTCTTCATGTAATTAGCCAAAAAGTATGCTTCAAAAATTTGTATGTTTGTTTGCACAACGAAAAAAAAGTCTGGACGGTCCAGCTTTTTCGGCTAACTATTTAGTAGATACATACATATATTTGTTTTGCTTAATTTTACATACTTATTTGTATGAGTGAATGTGTCAATTATAGGTATGTATGCAGGTAGTGTCTATGAGGAGTGCATTTGGAAATGTTCGCGCTCATTTTAGAGCTTTCATATTATTTTTGATAAAGTTAATTTGTGAAAATTTGAAAGCTTTAAAGCTTCTAAGTTTTAAAAAATGAAAGCCTGAGGAAAAATACTCAAATAGTCAAAGTGAAAGCTTAACGCTTAAAAGCTCAAAAGCTTTTGTGGTTTAAAACGAGGGCTTTACAGTTCCGAAGTATTTCAGAAATAACCACTTTCCTAGTGAGATATATTGAAAAATTGTCACTGAGGGCTCAAAGCGTAAAAGCTCATAAGCATTTGAGCTCAAAGTGAGAAATTTGCAGCTTAAAAGCATGTTGGCAATTACAGTTTAGCTGTTTGGACTGAAATATATTTAAAAAATGAATAGTGACAGGTTAAAGTCTAAAAGCTCATGAGCACGTAATTATATGAAGTGAGCTTTAAAGCTCACAAGTATGTTAGAAATTGCAGTCCAACTGCATTTGAATTTGTAAGTGTGAAATAAAAGCTTGGCTAAAGCTTAAAAGCTCGCATGCATTTAAAGTATAATGTGCATTAAATAAATGTATTTTTTATGTGTTTTTATAATTGGTTACTTTTGAAATTACTACTTTTTATCGTTAGTTTATGGTTATTTACTGTTATTGTTTAGCAGCGCCATCTATGTGTTAGCATGATGTGTTCTTTTTCTTAGTTTTGTATACTATTCCAACTGTCTTATCGCTATATAGTAGTGCTTCATTTTTATTTTTACTTTTTTTGTAATTTCTTTGTTTACTATTTTATGTATGTAGGTATGTATATATCTGCAATTTGTTATTCTAGTACTATTATGAAAAAATTAAAAAAGTTTTCGTTCTGTATTTTTTGTTTAAAAAAATAAAATATTTTCATACTTCGAAATTAAATTCCGTTGCGCTTCTCAACTGGTTTACTCTACCTCGCTGCCTTTATTATTAATTCTTTTACTGTCACTAAAGCTCCGGCTCCCTCGTTACTTTTACCCTTCAAACAATTTTTTAATTACTTTCTCCTACAAATTCCCTGTTTTTATATTTATTATAAATTTTTGTTTTTTTGAAATAATCATTTTTTATTATTATTTTTTTTTTCATACCTACGTCTTATTATCTACTCAATCACTGCCTTTAACCTAATTGTTTTGTATGTATGTTTACATTTAGCTGCCCTACAACTCAACAACAACAACAACCACAACAACAAGTCCTGCATTAACATTGCGCTGCCGTTTTGTACATTAGCACTTGACATACCCATTGAAAAAGCAAAAAAACAAAAAAAAATAATAATAATATTATTTTTTTAATAATTTCGCATGTAAGCAACGGAAAGTTATTTTCCACAGCTGTCGCTTCGGCTTTTTTTACTTAAACGCTCCTAAATTGCAAATTCGCAGAAAGCTTTATTTTAATTAAACATTCTTGAAAAGTAAGCGTTTTGGACCTTCGAACACTTTTAGTACTATCATTCTATACTGTTTTCTTACCTTCTTTTCAAAGACCATTTGTAAAACTCTTAGATCTTTTTCTACCTGGTATAGATTATTCATGCTAAGCCAGCAGCTTTAGATAACCTTACCATAGAACTTGCTTTTTTTTTTGAAAGCTCATAGTTTCATTTAATAAGCTTTCAACAACTTCATCTTAATGTGTGAAGTTTTCGAGACATGAAATCAAAGCTCAGCTTCACAGATTTTTTAAAGCCCATACCTTTAATTGGGTAAGCTTTTATGTGAAGAGTTTTATGACCTCAGCCTCTCTCGTAAAGCCTATATTTTTGTTTTACACTGCTAAAAAATGCAGCTTTGGAAGTTTTTGTGAGCTTTCACACATTTTTCCCCGTTAAAATCTTCGGCTTTATTTACGTGAATTTTTGTAATATTTTTGCATCTATTTTTCATTATCATATTCTACTTTTTATGCTCAGTGCTATACTTTATTTTTAAAGTTGGGCATGAATTCGTCACTGTGAACTGTTAAATATATGTTTTTTTTACTGAAATTTTCTTAAAATGGTTTGAACTGCATTAAACCGGTTCTTGCTTTTATACCTCAGTTTATATTTTTTTTTGCAAAGCTTTCATATGGTTTTTGACTTTTTTTTACTTAAAAAAATGCTCACATATTTTTCTTCTGATGTTCTTTACTGTAACTTCTTCACATTATGTGCTTTGAGATTTCAATATACTAAGTATATATTTTCCACTAAATTACGCAGCTTTCAATTAAACTTTCAATAAACTTTCACAGCTGAGCTAAGTAAATAATTTTCCTGCTAGATTGTATATTTTCACACAAAACTTTTACTTTCGTAACTGGCAAATCTACTGCGAAAGCTCTAGTAAAAGCTTTCTCAAACTGCCACCGACCACAAGAAAGCTGAACTGCTACACTTTCAGCACCTTTCATGAATGCTTTGATATTGCTGTTCGAAATCCGCGATAATTTCATATTCAAAATGTTATTGTACCAATTTTTGATATTCGATTATATAACTGTCAATATAGTTTAGCATAATGTGAATAAATCAAGATTTGTTTGTTGTTTTTTTTTGTATTTTTTTTTTTGTATATTTAGCATATAATAATAATTTTGTGTATATTTTACTTATTTTTGATTTGCTTATAATTTTCGCAAAATAATTTAAATGCTTAGCGATTTTTCTTTTAGCTTTATATACTTTTATCTTAGATTTTTTAGCTTTTCATACTTTTAGTTTTGCAGCGTTTATTGATCGCTTTAATGCATACATAAATACGTACACATGCGATTGTGTGTGTTTTTTAAGTTTTTTTTTTGTGTCTTTCTAACATTTTTCTTACAACATGTCACTATATATGTATAAGTATGTATAGTATATAAGTAAGTACATTTATTTGTTTTTGTTTTTTGTTGTTGTTCTTTGTCATATATGTACGTACGTCTGTGATTTCTAGGTAAATAATATATTTAATATATAAATTTGCTTATCTCTCTGCTTGATGGGAGGCACATTTATTTATAATATTTATTTTTGTTGTTATTTGTTTATTTTTTTTAATATTTCCTTTTTGAATTCGGATCTTGTTCTTTGGTATTTAATTTGTGTTTTTGAACGAACGTTCATTTACTTTTTTGCTCGGCTTTTTATTTTTTTCAGAAGATATTGTATTTTTTTATTTAATTTATATATACTTCTTTTATTTTTAATTTTTTAATTTGATTTTTATTTACTCAACTAATATCCTTTTAATTTTTTTATTTATTTTAATTGATTTGAATTTTTCGCTTAATTTATTTATTTAATTTTATTGTAGTATTTTATTTGAAACTTGTTTTATTTAATAAACAAATTTCATCTTTTTTTTTATCTTTTTTTTTTCAAATAAATAAATAAATATAATTTGGACTTTATTTCTGTTTAAGTTAATGATTATTTTTAAATAATTTTGCTTTATTATATTTACTTTAATTTTATTTTGGTCAATTTCATTTTATTTTATCTTCTCTTAATTTTGTTATTCTGTTTCATGTTATTTAATTTAATTATTTTTACTTCAATTTTTTCATTTTAATTCCATTTAATTATTTTATTTTCCTTTATTTATTTATATCATTTTAATTTATTTGGCATTATATTATTTTTAATTACTTTTTTCTTTCAAATGATATTTTAGTCATATTTTATTTAGTTTTAATATATTTTTCCTTTTCAGTTCAGTGTTGAAAAAAAAATTAATTTAACTTAACTTTAACTAAATAATTCATTTAATTTAAATTTTTATTTAAATTCATTTATTTTTGTAATTTATTTTATTTCAATTAAATATTTTTTTTTCTATTTTATTTGTTTTATTAATACAATATATTTTAAGTTATTTAAATTTTATGTAATTAATTTACTTGCTTTATTCAATTTTTTATTACTTATTTAATTATAATTTTAATAAGTTTTATGTTATTTAAAATAATTTAATTTTATTTTGTTTTACTTTTGTTTTATTTTATAAAATTTCTTTATTTATTTACTTGTTTATTTTATTTTAAAATAATTTGCTGTATTTCATTTTGCATTTTTTTATTATTTTATTGAATTTCAATTAATTCAATTGTTTATTTTTTAGTTTATTTTTTGTTGTCTTAATTAATTATTTTACTCTATTTATCTTTTATTTATTTACTTAATTAATTTTTTTTTTCTTGCATTTTAATTATTGAAACAAATTTTCTTATTCGCTTGTTTTTTTTACGCTTTTTCTTGTATTAATTTATTTTTCTTTATTTTAAGGTAATTTTTTCTTTTATCTGCATTTATTTTTTTTAATTTACTTATTAATTTATGTTAATTTAATTTAATTTTTTTTTATTATTATTTTTTTAATAAAAGTTTTTTTTTATTAAAATTTGTTTATTTTATTTTATGGCAGTTTAATTTATTTTAATTTTATTTTAAACGCAATTTAATTTAATTATCTTATAATTTTATATACCATATTTTATTATTATTAATTTTTAAATAAATTTTGTAGTTTTAAATTTATTTTGCTCTTCTCCATTTATTTATATTTTATTTCAATTAATTTCCTTTTATTTTATTTCTTTCCAATTAAATTTTTTTTTTGATTTTTATTAGTTTTATTTTAATTAAGTGTATTTATTACATTTTGTTTAATTTTTTACTTTATAAATGGGTCAATAATGTGTCAAAATTCTTTGCACCTCTTTGTTAGTTATTTATTAATTTTTTTTTATATATCACTCCTTTTTTCAGCTCAATACAATAGTTACATTTCGTTTTTTAAATATTTTTTTTTGTTGGTTTTTTTTTTGCTTCCTTTGTATAATTTTTTTAATAAATATCTCCCGTTTTGTTTTTTATTTTATGCTTCACAATTTTTTGTAATTAAATTTTTTCAACAAATATTCATTTAATTACTTAATTTTTTTTTTCATATTTGAAGCGAAATTATTTGCAAGTGCATGACATTTTTTTCAAGTTTTCAAACTTTTCTCTCATTTTTTCATTTATTTTATATCCTTCAGACATTTGGCATAGAAATGAGCGGCTACAATAAACAAAATGGCGCTACACTCAATTTTTTCTGTTTGTAAAAATCTCGTGTAGTTCACCAAAACTCCGCCATTCTCATGCTCCTTATGTCTTACTGCCGACTTTTTCTCTCTCTCTCTCTCTCTATCTTTTTAAGAGTATAGTCACTGCAAAAAAAGCTGCATGCTTATATAAACGTAAAGCCTTTTCAGAGCTTTCACTCTATTCTGGTTTCTCTTATACTGGTAGATATATTTGCTTACAATTTTTGTTTTGCTTTATGCTCTTAATCAGGTATGTCAAGTTGACGTACACGTATGTAGTGAAGCACGCCCGTTGTTTGAAGCGCTGAGTTGTGGACTTTAAAAGCGTGAAAGCTCTCACTAGCTGAAGTACGCTTTGTAGCTGTTGGTGAAAGCTTAACACTTTGCAAATTCACCTGGCAACGGATTTCAGCCGCAGGAGCTTTCATTTGGTGATTTTCATAAAAGCTTCACGATTGATGTTTTTTGGTCAAAAGCTTCATTTGCCATTTTACATTAAAGGTTTGTTTAGTTTACTTTATTTTTGGTATCTTATTAGTTCAGAATTTAGTTGTAGTTTTTGTTAGTAGTAGAGTTAAGCTTTATTCTTTATTAGTTGTAGAGTTGTATGAGATTTTCGGCATCGGCGAATGAGATGAACATCCCCGTGGCCTAGAATTCCAAACGATAGGCGGCGCAAGATGTCTCGTGATCTTGCAAGTTAATTGTGCAACGCGATGCTGAAGGCGATAAGTCGATACGGTATTTGGCTAAAAGCTCCTCATTCTCGGCAACCCAATAGCCGAGCACGTCGGTATCGTAAGTGGGTATGATGGTGACCTCTGTAAGGTTAAGAACGATAATATACAGTAACGCTAACGGAAATACTATAGCTTATTTCATTTAAGACTTACCCAACTCTTTGTCCTCCCACGTCTGCTTGGCCTCGAGTAATGCGTCGTACACCTGCCGACTGGGCTCGGTGCCGGAGAAGACATAGTAACGCGCACGCACACGCTTGAAGAACTCAACATGGGAATAGTAGGAATTGCCATTGTGTGGTACATAAGTGAGATCCACGTATACGGGTGATGGCTTCTTGGCCTTGTTTGGTGACTCCGAACGTTTACGTAAATTCTTTTCGTTGTTTAAACGTGTCTTTGTAGCGACTAAGCGACGCTCACGCTTTGGGGTCGTACGTATATCACTCTCAATGGGTAGTGGGGCGGGTGATGGCAGTCCCAAGGGCTTACCCCATTCTTTTAATGGATCTTTAGGCAGTGCTCCTGTGGCGCTGGACGACGTTGTGGTTGTTGTTTTGGTGGTTTCGCTTGCTGCGGTGGCGCCAATTGTAGCTGGCTCTCCGCTCGCGCTATCGATGCTACTCGTGGTTGTTGTTGTTGTGATAATCGTTGTTGTCTTGCCATCTAAACACTCGCTGGCGCTCTCGACTTTGGTGCTGGTGATGCTGCTGGCGCTGGCACTGGCACTACTGCTAGCAACGGTTGTGCCCTCGGTGAAGCGTGTCTTTTGCACATCGACTAACGGGAATTTGGGCTTTTCAACGCTGGCGACACTCTGCTCCACCTCCTCCGCTTTGGAGGGTGAGTACGAGTATTTCGCTGTTACCGATGACATCACATCAGCGCCGCGCACTTGCACATGCTCCTCGAGCGCCTTCTCAAAATCCATATCGGCCTCTTCGAGGAACTTATGATCGCCACTATCTACGCTGCCGTGTATGCCACCGCTAATCACTTGACGGCTGGCTGAGGTTTGACTAGTACTTTCTACGCTTTCTGTTGATTGGCTGGCAGGCGAATCGGCTACATAGGTGCGTGTGGTAATGGTACGCGTTGTTGTGCCGCAAATGGGTATGGGAGCGGTTGGTTTTGTATCGAAGCTATCGGGCAGTGCGCCATAGAAGGAAGTGCTCATTGGATCAGGAATCTTCTGCAGTGTGATTGCGCGTGCGGCAGAGTGTTCTTCGCTGCCATATTGTGGCGGAATATCATCTTGGCTATCGTCCACATCGAAGTCAGATCGTTTACTTACGCCCGAGCTGGAACGTTGCAATTCATAGCTGGCGCCATGTGACGACGCAATGCTACGTGGTGAAGCAGGTAGTTCATCATCGCTTAAGTAGGCACCTGTCATGCGTTCGTCATCGCTGCCGGGTGTGGAAGAACGATAGGCGCCGCGTAGCAACGCAACCTCTTTAGGCAACATATGTTCACTCTTGTCGCTCTCACTGGTTGTACGTGTTGTGGTCACAGTTACCTTTTCACCATCTGGTTCAGTGGTGTCCGTCGTAGTGACGGTTTTCTCCTCCATAACGATTTCCTTGCCATCGCTGGAGATTACTTTGGTCACTGTGGTTATAGTTGTTGTAATGATTTTCTCCGTACTACCACTAAGCGCGGTTGTCTTCTCAATACCACGCAGCTCGTGTAGGTCAGGAAGCATTTGTAAATCGTCGGTGAACTCTTGTGCTTGGGCGATGGCACTGGCGGCGGCTTCAGTGACAGTTGCGGTGGCTGACTTCAAGTCTTCTGTGGTAACGCGTGGAAAGGGTGAAGTTGGTTTCGGCGATGCTTCGGACGAATCTGAAAGTGAACCACGACCTTTGGGTGTTGGTAAGGATTGACTTTCTGTTTCAGAGGTTAGTGCACCTGGACTCGACTTACCGCTAATATCTCGTGGCGATAGTGGACCGCTTACTGAGCCTGCGCCACTGCCGCATGTCTCGCTCAACGTGGTTGTTGTGGTAGTTACTGTGCTTGTACCGGTCGGGAGTTGTCTTATACCAGGGCTAACAGGAGCCGTGGGTGGTGTTTTTGGATCGCTCTCTAGTGGCTGTGTTAGTATTATGGTCTCCAGCTGTGTGGACGTCTTCGATTTGATTTCGGCGCTTTGGGTGCTCATTTCTTTGCTTGATTTGAGGGTGGCATGAGTGGTTTTCGTGACGGTCGATGTGCTCTCTTCGATAGCCTCAGCGAGCTCTTCACTCTCCTCTTCGACTTTATCGAATGTGTCGACTTCCTCGGAAGGCTTATAAATGCTGGTCATCATAATTGTGGCTATGGACTTTGAGCGTCCTTCTTTCACATTAATCACACCATCGTCCTCAGAATCATCTTCATGATCGCTGTGCGTATGTCGTCCCTCGCTTGTTTGACTAAACTCCGATTCTCGTCTGGAGCTGTCTTTCATGCTGGCCAATAAATCAGATGCTCTACGCGATGCGGTAGTTGATTGTGTTGTTGTGGTGGTTACGGTCTTCTCTGAGGTCGCGCCTTCAGATTTAGCAGTTTTAGTATCACTGACGAGACTATCTTTTGTCGAAATAATTTTCTCTGTAGCCAAGAACTCAGCTACTGTGTCTTTAAGACTTTCTTTACTATCTAAACTTGAAGCTTTACTTTCCTTGGCAGTTGATGTGGTACTACGCGAGTCTAACTTTTGTGTGGTAACATCGGTGGTATGTATCTCACTAACCATAGACTCTGATGAGCACTCTTCCGAGTGTGTCATAGACTCCTCGGCTTGAGAGGATGTGATTTGCGATTTTACAGTCTTCACAAAGGTTTCTTCGGACTTTCTGCCTGCGGCGATTTGGTCGGCGCTTTTCTCCTCAACGAAACTGGAAATCGACTCCCGTGGGGAACCATCTTCTACTTTAATACTACTAAAGGATTCACTGTGAGATTCTTCTCGCAGATGTGTTCTAATGGAAGAGTCTAACGATTTACTCACAATTGATGACATTTCTGTGGAAGAGAAAATAGATTGCGATGACTTTACAGATTCAGCTTTCGCTTCTGATAGAGACTCAGCAGTCGAAAACATCGCTTCAAGCCGAGATTCTGCAGTTTTTTCAATATGTTCTGCCTTGGAGCTAGCAACAGATCCAGCACGTGAGGGTTCTTTTGAAGTATCAGAAAATTTTTCATCTTTCTTGCTCTCCGCTGTTGACACAACAGACTCACGTCGCGATTCAACAGATCCTTCGGCTTTCTCTTCCTTCGTGCTGGCCACTGACTCAGGTCGTGAGGCTTCTTTAGATGGAGCTGAAGATTTGTCGTCTTTCTTGCTTTCAGCAGTGGAGAGAACGGACTCGCGTCGCGACTCGGTAATTTCTTCTTTCTTGCTCTCGGCAGTTGACAAAACAGACTCGCGCCGCGATTCAACAGATTCTTCGGCTTTCTCTTCCTTCGTGCTGGCCACTGACTCAGGTCGTGAGGCTTCTTTAGATGGAGCTGAAGATTTGTCGTCTTTCTTGCTTTCAGCAGTGGAGAGAACGGACTCGCGTCGTGACTCGGTAATTTCTTCTTTCTTGCTCTCGGCAGTTGACAAAACAGACTCGCGCCGCGATTCAACAGATTCTTCGGCTTTCTCTTCCTTCGTGCTAGCCACTGACTCAGGTCGTGAGGCTTCTTTAGATGGAGCTGAAGATTTGTCGTCTTTCTTGCTTTCAGCAGTGGAGAGAACGGACTCGCGCCGTGATTCGATATCGTCCTCTTTCTTGCTCTCAGCAGTAGACAAAACAGACTCGCGCCGAGATTCAACAGATTCTTCGGCTTTCTCTTCCTTTGTGCTGGCCACTGACTCAGGTCGTGAGGCTTCTTTAGATGGAGCTGAAGATTTGTCGTCTTTCTTGCTTTTAGCAGTGGAAAGAACGGACTCGCGCCATGACTCGATATCGTCCTCTTTCTTGCTCTCGGCAGTAGACAAAACAGACTCGCGCCGAGATTCAACAGATTCTTCGGCTTTCTCTTCCTTCGTGCTGGCAACTGACTCAGGTCGTGAGGCTTCTTTAGATGGAGCTGAAGATTTTTCGTCTTTCTTGCTTTCAGCTGTGGAAGGAACGGACTCGCGACGTGTCTCGATATCGTCCTCTTTCTTGCTCTCGGCTGTTGACACAACAGACTCACGTCGCGATTCAACAGATCCTTCGGCTTTCTCTTCCTTCGTGCTGGCCACTGACTCAGGTCGTGAGGCTTCTTTTGATGGAGCTGAAGATTTGTCGTCTTTCTTGCTTTCAGCAGTGGAGAGAACGGACTCGCGTCGCGACTCGGTAATTTCTTCTTTCTTGCTCTCGGCAGTTGACAAAACAGACTCGCGCCGCGATTCAACAGATTCTTCGGCTTTCTCTTCCTTCGTGCTAGCCACTGACTCAGGTCGTGAGGCTTCTTTAGATGGAGCTGAAGATTTGTCGTCTTTCTTGCTTTCAGCAGTGGAGAGAACGGACCCGCGCCGTGATTCGATATCGTCCTCTTTCTTGTTCTCAGCAGTAGACAAAACAGACTCGCGCCGCGATTCAACAGATTCTTCGGCTTTCTCTTCCTTTGTGCTGGCCACTGACTCAGGTCGTGAGGTTTCTTTAGATGGAGCTGAAGATTTGTCGTCTTTCTTGCTTTCTGCTGTGGAAAGAACGGACTCGCGCCGAGACTCGATATCGTCCTCTTTCTTGCTCTCGGCAGTAGACAAAACAGACTCGCGTCGCGATTCAACATATACTTCGGCTTTCTCCTCTTTCGTGCTGGCCACTGACTCAGATCTAGAGGCTTCTTTAGATGGGGCTGAAGTTTTGTCATCTTTTTTGGTTTCAGTAGGGGAGAGAATATTATCTTCAGCCTTCTCCTCCTTAGAGCTAGTAACTGATTCAGGACGGGAGGCTTCCTTGGATGGAACCGTGGATTTTTCATCTTTCTTGCTTTCAGTGGTCGACACTACAGATTCACGTCGCGATTCAACAGATTCTTCGAATGTCTCATCCCTCGAGCTTGCAACTGATGCAGGACGTGATACTTCCACGTATGGTGCTGATGATTTTTCGTCCTTTGTGCAATCTGTAAATGATGTAAGTTTAGATGTTTCTGAGATTTCTTTCTCGCTGTGTAGGCTGGAAGCGGAGTCACTTTCTCGTACAGTCGTTTCAGGACTCTCTTGGGTTTCAGCACCTTTACGCAACATTTTTTCAGACTCTTCAATTTTGTCCTTCTCTTCAATGGAGATTGGTCCTGAACGCAATTCGGGAGAAGACTTCTCTGATTCATCGGCGGCGGGATCATCGTGGAACTGTTTGTAGTCTATGTCCAGAGGTTTGATTGGGGATATTTTTTCTGGTATTGTCTCTGGTGCCATGGTTGGTGTGAAAACAATGCTACCCTTGGGACAAATATCGATTTCTTCGCCACCATCTTCGCTACTTGCCGTCACCAGCATTCTTTGAACTGTCACATTTTCGGTCTCTTGCTCTTCGGGAGTTTTCAGACGTTGCACAAGCTTTTCTTCATCGAAATCAGGTATAATCTCGGTTATATCCTTCTCAGATTTCAAAACTTTGGCGACATCCGCGACTATTTTAAATACTTCTTCTTCTCGTGGTGAGACGGGACGTATGGGTTGCTGAGCGCCTATCGCCGGTTTAGTTGTGGGCGGTGATATTCTGTGCTCCTCATCCTCTTCCTTAATATCATGCAGTATTGTTTCTTCGCGTTCAGTTAAGGTTACCTTGAACTCGGGTGATTCTACAGTAGTGATATGTGTCTCTCTCAATTCTGTTGAGAATGTGCTCAAATCTAGTTGAGGTTTTGTAACCGAAGGCAGAGATTCCAGTTCGATGTGCTCTGTCTTAATGATTTCTTCTGTCACTTCCTTGAGTTGCTCCACTTTTTTCTCGGCTGAAGCGAAAATACTGCTCTTTACGTCTTCGAGGATGCCACTAATGCCAGTGGAGATATCGGTTTTAACGGTATCAACGGTAGCGCTGGCTGCTTTGGTGACTTCAGCTGTAGTTTCTTTTGAAAACACAATAAGATTGTCTACACTTTCGGTAACTTCTTTTAACTTGTCATCGGCTTCCTTTTTAAGATCCTCTACTTTCTTATCGATCGTTTGTTTAGACCCTTCGACCTCTTTGGTCACAATCTCAGTTGTCTGGACGACTTCTTCGGTTAAACTTTTTAGCTTATCCTCAGCGATCGTTGTTACTTCTTCTGCCTTCTTGCTGACTTCTTCAGTTACCATCTCCTTCTTCTCTTCTAAAGTTTTAGATACTTTCGCCAATTCCTCGGTAATTTCTTCCACCATAGTCTCACATATTTCACCAGCGGCCTTTGTTGTCTCGTTGAATTGTTCTGCTGTTTTCGCTGCAGTTTCTTCCACCTTTGCGGCGACGTTCTTAGCTTTGTCTTCGGCTTTGGTTGTAATCTCTTCTATCATCTTCTTGGACTCCTCCACAGCTATCTCCGTTTTGGTTGTAACGATTTCTGTTACTTCGGATGTTGATTTGGCGGTTTGCATGACCACAGCCTTGGTCTTATCTTCAACTGATCCTTCAATTCCTGCAATTTCCTTAAGAGAAACGTCTGTGACTTCTGTTGCCTTGACTTCTATTGCACACTTCTCGGCGTCGATAGCTTTCAGGGTTTCTTCTGTAATCGTTTCAACCCTTTCCGTTAATATCTCTTCAACAACCTCTGCGGTCTTAAAGGCCTCTGAGATCGCAGCTTTTGCTTTTACTTCCACTTTTTCGCTTAATTCTTCAACGTTCTTTACACTTATTTCAGTCGCCACTTCTTTTAGAGCAGTCGATTCTTCAGATTTTTTCGCTTCCTTTGTGACTTCTTCTGTTTTAGTAACCCTTACCTCTGCAGTTACATCTGTTCCCTCCTTTGTTTTCTCTTGGCTCTGGCCTTCAGCTTCCACCTTATGACTGATATCAATTAAATCTTTTGCCTCATCAACTGGACTTGAAATTGTTTCGGAAACCTTTGAAGTAGCACTTTCTGCGGGTGCCTTTGGTAGGTCGCTGGACTCGCCGGCATCGGCTGCAGTGTCAGAGAATATTCCATCGGCTACGTCCACTGGGCTTGATTTGGTGGGCAATTCGGTGTCCAATTTAGTGCTTTCCAGGTCTAACGAAAGTTGAAGATCCTCGAATTTTATTGAAGCGCGATCTACGGGGGTTGAAATTGTTTCTACTTCTCCACTGACACTTTCGGCAACAGATTCTGGACGCGACGCTTCTTTGGACCCCTCCGCAGCTTTTTCGCCCTTAACACCCTCTGAAACTGATTCTGGTTTGGATGCAGCTGCAGACTTTGCGTCTTTAATACTCTCAGCTAAAGACTCTTTATGTGAATCGCCCTGGGAAAGAGTTGGAGATTTTTCGACTTTCACACTTTCTTCAGATGATGTTGGCTTAGGTGCAACTAGTGACATCTCATCCTTAATACTTTCAGCCACGGCCTCTGGTCGTGAAGGTTCCTGAAAAGGAGCTGCGGATTTCTCATCTTTCACACTTTGGGCGGTTGACTCAGGCTTGGATGCAACTGGCGACTTTTCGTCCTTGACACTTTCTGCCACAGACTCTTTCCGTGATGCCGCCAGAGAAGGAGCTGGTGATTTTTCGTCTTTCGCGCTCTCAGCGGCCACGGACTTTTCATCCTTTACACTTTCAGCCACGGACTCTGGTCGTGAAGTCTCCTGAGAAGGAGCAACTGATTCAGGCTTGGATGCAACTGCCGACTTTTCGTCCTTGACACTTTCTGCCACAGACTCTTTCCGTGATGATGCCGGAGAAGGAGCTGGTGATTTTTCGTCTTTAATGCTCTCAGCGGCAACCGTCTTCTCATCCTTTACACTTTCAGCCACGGACTCTGGTCGTGAAGGTTCCTGAGAAGGAGCTGCGGATTTTTCGTCTTTCACACTTTCGGCGGCTGACTCAGGCTTGGATGCAACTGGCGACTTTTCGTCCTTGACACTTTCTGCCACAGACTCTTTGCGTGATGCCGCCAGAGAAGGAGCTGGTGATTTTTCGTCTTTTACGCTCTCAGCGGCCACGGACTTTTCATCCTTTACACTTTCTGCAACGGACTCTGGTCGTGAAGCTTCCTGAGAAGGAGCTGCGGATTTTTCGTCTCTCACACTTTCGGCGGCTGACTCAGGCTTGGATGCAGCTGACGACTTTTCGTCCTTGACACTTTCTGCCACAGACTCTTTGCGTGATGATGCCGGAGAAGGAGCTGGTGATTTTTCGTCTTTTATGCTCTCAGCGGCAACGGTCTTCTCATCCTTTATACTTTCTGCTACGGACTCTGGTCGCGAAGTTTCCTGAGAAGGAGCTGCGGATCTTTCGTCTTTGACACTTTCGTCGGCTGACTCAGGCTTGGATGTACCTGGCGACTTTTCGTCTTTCACACTTTCGGCGGCTGACTCAGGCTTGGATGCAACTGGCGACTTTTCGTCCTTGACACTTTCTGCCACAGACTCTTTGCGTGATGCTGCCAGAGAAGGAGCTGGTGATTTTTCGTCTTTTACGCTCTCAGCGGCCACGGACTTTTCATCCTTTACACTTTCTGCAACGGACTCTGGTCGTGAAGGTTCCTGAGAAGGAGCTGCGGATTTTTCGTCTTTCAAACTTTCGGCGGCTGACTCAGGCTTGGATGCAACTGGCGACTTTTCGTCCTTGACACTTTCTGCCACAGACTCTTTGCGTGATGATGCCGGAGAAGGAGCTGGTGATTTTTCGTCTTTAATGCTCTCAGCGGCAATGGTCTTCTCATCCTTTACACTTTCCGCTACGGACTCTGGTCGTGAAGGTTCTTGAGAAGGAGCTGCGGATCTTTCGTCTTTCACACTTTCGGCGGCTGACTCAGGCTTGGATGCAGCTGACGACTTTTCGTCCTTGATACTTTCTGCCACAGACTCTCTGCGTGATGCCGCCAGAGAAGGAGCTGGTGATTTTTCGTCTTTTACGCTTTCAGCGGCCACGGACTTTTCATCCTTTACACTTTCTGCTACGGACTCTGGTCGTGAAGGTTCCTTAGAAGGAGCTGCGGATTTTTCGTCTTTCACACTTTCGTCGGCTGACTCAGGCTTAGATGCAAGTGGCGACTTTTCGTCCTTGACACTTTCTGCCACAGACTCTTTGCGTGATGCTGCCAGAGAAGGAGATGGTGATTTTTCGTCTTTTACGCTCTCAGCGACCACGGACTTTTCATCCTTTACACTTTCTGCTACGGACTCTGGTCGTGAAGCTTCCTGTGAATGAGCTGCGGATTTTTCGTCTTTGGCACTTTCGGCGGCTGACTCAGGCTTGGATGCAACTGGCGACTTTTCGTCTTTGACACTTTCGGCGGCTGACTCAGGCTTGGCTGCAACTGGCGACATTTCGTCTTTCACACTTTCGGTGGCTGACTCAGGCTTGGATGCAACAGGCGACTTTTCGTCCTTGACACTTTCTGCCACAGACTCTCTGCGTGATGCCGCCAGAGAAGGAGCTGGTGATTTTTCGTCTTTTACGCTTTCAGCGGCCGCGACCTTTTCATCCTTTGTACTTTCGGCAACGGACTCTGGTCGTGAAACTTCCTCAGAAGGAGCAGCGGATTTTTCGTCTTTCACACTTTCGGCGGCTGACTCAGGCTTGGATGCAATTGGCGACTTTTCGTCCTTGACACTTTCTGCCACAGACTCTTTCCGTGATGATACCAGAGAAAGTGCTGGCGATTTTTCGTCTTTTACGCTCTCAGCGGCCACGGACTTTTCATCCTTTACACTTTCTGCTACGGACTCTGGTCGTGAAGGTTCCTGAGAAGGAGCTGCGGATTTTTCGTCTTTCACACTTTCGTCGGCTGACTCAGGCTTGGATGCAAGTGGCGACTTTTCGTCCTTGACACTTTCTGCCACAGACTCTTTGCGTGATGCTGCCAGAGAAAGAGCTGGCGATTTTTCGTCTTTTACGCTCTCAGCGGCCACGGACTTTTCATCCTTTACACTTTCTGCAACGGATTCTGGTCGTGAAGGTTCCTGAGAAGGAGCTGCAGATTTTTCGTCTTTCACGCTTTCGGCGGCTGACTCAGGCTTGGATGCAACTGGCGACTTTTCGTCCTTGACACTTTCTGCCACAGACTCTTTGCGTGATTCTGCCTGAGAAGGAGCTGGTGATTTTTCGTCTTTTACGCTCTCAGCGGCCACGGTATTCTCATCCTTTACACTTTCTGCTACGGACTCTGGTCGTGAAGGTTCCTGAGAAGGAGCAGCGGACTTTTCGTCTTTCACACTTTCGGCGGCTGACTCAGGCTTAGATGCAACTGCCGACTTTTCGTCCATGACACTTTCTGCCACAGACTCTTTGCGTGATGCTGCCAGAGAAGGAGCTGGTGATTTTTCGTCTTTTACGCTCTCAGCGACCACGGGCTTTTTATCCTTTACACTTTCTGCTACGGACTCTGGTCGTGAAGGTTCTTGAGAAGGAGCTGCGGATTTTTCGTCTTTCACACTTTCGGCGACTGACTCAGGCTTGGATGCAACTGGCGACTTTTCATCCTTGACACTTTCTGCCAGAGACTCTTTGCGTGATGCTGCAAGAGAAGGAGCTGGTGATTTTTCATCTTTTACGCTCTCAGCGACCACGGACTTTTCATCCTTTGTACTTTCTGCTACGGACTCTGGTCGTGAAGCTTCCTGAGAAGGAGCTGCGGATTTTTCGTCTTTCACGCTTTCGGCGGCTGACTCAGGCTTAGATGCAACTGGCGACTTTTCGTCTTTGACACTTTCGGCAGCTGACTCTGGCTTGGATGCAACTGGCGACTTTTCGTCTTTCACACTTTCGGCGGCTGACTCAGGCTTGGATGCAGCTGGCGACTTTTCGTCCTTGACACTTTCTGCCACAGACTCTTTGCGTGATGCTGCCAGAGAAGGAGCTGGTGATTTTTCGTCTTTTACGCTCTCAGCGGCCACGGACTTTTCATCCTTTACACTTTCTGCAACGGACTCTGGTCGTGAAGGTTCCTGAGAAGGAGCTGCGGATTTTTCGTCTTTCACACTTTCGGCGGCTGACTCAGGCTTGGATGCAACTGGCGACTTTTCGTCCTTGACACTTTCTGCCACAGACTCTTTGCGTGATGATGCCGGAGAAGGAGCTGGTGATTTTTCGTCTTTTACAATCTGAGCGGCCACTGACTTTTCATCCTTTACACTTTCTGCTACGGACTCTGGTCGTGATGCTGCCAGAGAAGGAGCTGGTGATTTTTCGTCTTGAATGCTCTCAGCGGCAACGGGCTTTTCATCCTTTACACTTTCTGCTACGGACTCTGGTCGTGAAGGTTCCTGAGAAGGAGCTACGGATTTTTCGTCTTTCAAACTTTCGGCGACTGACTCAGGCTGAGATGCAATTTGCGACTTTTCGTCCTTGACACTTTCTGCCACAGACTCTTTGCGTGATGCTGCCAGAGAAGGAGCTGATGATTTTTCATCTTTTAGGCTCTCAGCGGCCACGGACTTTTCATCCTTTGTACTTTCTGCAACGGACTCTGGTTGTGATGCTGCCTGAGAAGGATCTGGTGATTTTTCGTCCTTTACACCTTTCGCGACTGACTCAGGTTTTGATGCATTGTATGATTTTTCGTCTTTCACACTTTCTGCCACAGAGTGTTTGCGTGAAGTCGCTAGAGAAGGAGTTGGCGACTTATCTTCTCTGACGCTTTCCTCAGCTGATGCAGGTTTTGATACTGTCGGTGATTGTGCACTTTCTGGACTTTCGGGGCGCGGCGCCTCTGTAGCGGTTAAATCGGTGAGTTCTTTTGCCTCATCGACTGGTGTAGAAACTGTTGCTGAACTGCCAACAGTTGTTTGTTCTGCTGATACTTTTTTAGTTTCTACATTTGATTCTGTAATTTCAGCAAAAGCACCCTCGGCTACATCCACTGGACTTGAAGAGGTTGGAAGCTTGGTTTCGGACGTTACTTTTTCTAAATCAAGTATCAGAGTGGAAAGGTCAATCTTAGCTGGAGCTTTGTCCACAGGAGATGATACAGTTTCTCCTTCTTCGTGTATGCTCTCTGCTGCTGAGACAGGACGAGAGGTTTCCTTTGAAGCAATGGCAGATTTTTCATCCTTAAAACTCTCCGCGGCGGATTCAGGTCTGGAAACTTCCACCGACACTGCAGGTGACTTTTCATCTTTTAAGCTTTCAGCTACAGACTCAGGTTTTGAAGCTTCTTTTGAAGGTGCCTCTGACTTCTCGTCTTTTATACTTACAGCCGTCGACTCTGGTTTAGATGCCATCGGTGATATCTCTTTCGAGGCGAATGGAGATTTTTCATCTGCATCCCCGCTGTCCGCAGCAGTCTCCGGCTTTGAAGTAATTGAGGAAGTTTCATCTTTAACCTTCTTAACGGTTGTGTCGTCCTCCTTTTCAGACGTCCGTCGTGATGATTGTTTTGAAATGGCTTGAGATTTTACACCTTCAGGACTTTCTGGCCGCGACACGGATACTGTACTCTCAATAATTAAATCTTTGCCTTCATCTACCGGACTTGACACGGTTTCTTTAATGGCTGTATCTTCAACGGAAACCTTTTGGGTTTCTCCGAATGTTTTTTCAGCTTCTGGGAAATCACCTTCAGCAACATCAACAGGACTTGAGGATGTAGGAAGTTTGGCAACATGTTTTGTGGCTTGCAAATCTAAGGTCAATTCAGATGGATCAATATGAGTTGGTGCCTTGTCTACTGGCGAGGAGACAGTTTCCGCTTCCAACTTATCAGCTTCGCTAGCAGCGACAGAAGCTGGTCGCGAGACATCTTTTGGAGCTGATGCAGTCTTTTCGTCTTTCACGCTTTCTGCAGTAGACTCACGCCTGGAAATCTCAGTTGATTGAAGTGGAGATTTATCTTCTTTTGCAGAAGCTTTATCTGTTTCGTCCTTTGTGCTCACTAAAGATTCTCTACGGGAAACATCCTTTGATGCTGCAGCAGATTTCTCATCGACTTTCTTCATTTCTTCATCTAATGAGACTGACGTTTTGCGTGATATGGACTTAAATTCCACGTCCTTAGATGTCTTTCGACTAGCTTGTAATGACTTTTGCATTTCAACTTCGATGGCTTCTTCGATTGTGGCTGGGCTTTCAATGGAAACTGTTTCTTCCCGATCTTTTGGTTTGGCCACGTCAATCGCTGAAAGCACATGAGCGGGTAGCTCATCTTCTGATGTCACTTCACTGCCATCCCTTTCTTCTGGTGTGCTTAAGGACTTTTTGGATTCCTCCATAGCAGGCTCCTTTTCAACGTGTAATGATATTTTTTCTACTGGCGATGAAAGTTTTTCATCGGAAGAGGGCTTCTCAACAGGTACCTCGACAGCTGCTGGTGCTTTCGCAGCTAGAGTTGATTCTTCCATCGGAGATGATAATTTTTCAGCAGCCAGAGCTGAGATGACTTTTTTCTCCAAAGGTGATTGATCTTTTTCCAGACTCTCAACTTGTGCTATCTCTGGCGATGATACTTCTTTAGCCGGAGATGCTGGTATGTCTGCGGGTGTTGGTGTTTTCTGATCAACAATATCTTTTTTCTCAATATGCGTTGTCTCTTTCGTTGGTTCAGTAGGTGAAGCTGGCTTATCTGTGGGAGAAGCTGCTCTTTCTGCTGGTAAGAGGACTTTTTCAATTGGTGCGCTATCTTTCTCAGCAGAAGGCACTTCTATTTCAGAAGAAACCTTCTCTATTGGGGAACTTGGTTTATCCTCGACCGGAACAGCTGCTTTTTCCCCGGGCGAAGGAGGCTGTTGATCATCTTCCTCTTTTTCTTGGGTAAGTGCTGTAGCAACGGGAAGAACTTTTTCAGCAGAGATTTTATCCTCTTTAACTGGTTCCTTTTCTATTGGTGAAGCTGGCTTGTCTCCAGGGGAAGGTACTTTTTCGCTTGCAGGGGCTTCTTCGTCTTTTGGGGAAGTTGGTTTTTCCGTAGTTGGTGTTTCCTTTTCCACTGGAGATGCGGGCAAGGGTATTTTTTCAGCAGCAGGAGCTCCTTTCTCAGCTGGCGTAACCAGTTTTTGTTCGGGAGAAACAGCTTTTTCTTCTGCAGGAGATATTTCTGTATCTGCAGTCAAGATCGGTTCCACAGCTGACGTCATCTCCTTTTCAGTTGGTGATTTTGGTTTTTCAGCCACTTCGATAGAAGATTGTACAACCTCCGCTGACGCAGCTTCTTTTTCGTCTGGAGAGGTCTTTTCGTCACGAATGACAACTTCTTTTATGGGCGATGGAGCTTTTTCTGTTGGAGATGTTGGCTTCTCAGTAGGAGATTGTGCTTCTTCTTTGGGTACATCGGGTTTCTCTGTAGGTGACAGCACCTTTTCGGTTGCTATCGTAGGTTTGTCAGCAACTGGCGAAATGGGTTTTTCTTTTTTGGCTTCCACTATCTTCTCTTGCCCCTCTTCATCGACATCCTCTTCAGCATCCGCTTCCTTATCCTCGCATATATCCTTTTCTTCGGTTTCCTTCTCTTCCTTTGTAATCTCTTCTTTATGCGATATGATTTTACCACTCTCCTGTGTATCCTTTTCGTAGACACCCAAATCAGCTTCTTCATGTACCGGTAGGTCTGCAACCTCATCTGGAGTTTTGACAACATCGCGCAACAAGTTCTGTTGAGCTTCGAAAGTCATTTTCATAGGAAGCACGCGTTCAGCTGTGGCTAAACCTACAATAACAGGCTCAGCGACTTTTTCAATGACAATACCGGCTGCAGCGGCCGAGGGTTCAATTGGTTTAGCGATAGTTATCTGATAACCAGCTGCTTGCTCGGTTTCTTTGGTTTCTTCTTTAACATACTTTTCTTCGATTACCAAATCTTCTTTGATTTCGTCCAATGGTATGCGCTCGTCTTCGGGTAGTGTTGGCGCTGTTGTAGCACCAGATTCGATGGTTGCAGAGAATTTCTCCTCTGGCAGGCTCTCTTGCAAGTTGGCTGGCAATACTTCGGGTGGCTCGACAAGTTCATCTTTGGTATCGGAAGTTTTCTTAGCACTGCTTATTTTCTCCTCAGGCGTGGGTGAGGACAGTTCGTCTTCCGTTTTAATTACCTGCTCCTCGGCGCGTATCGTAACTATATCCTTGGCTGTGGTAATGATTTCTTGTACTTCTGCTTTAATATCTGACTTCTCTGGTGTGCTTATTTTATGTTCGGGCTCAGTGGCTTCCACTTCTTCTGCCTCTTCCGCTGCCTCAGCTACTTCAGGTTCGTCTTCGTCGGCGGCTGTCTCATCGAGACGTGCCTTACGTTCCTCAGCCTCGACTTTGGCAATAGCAGCTTCGATCTCTTCTTCGGCGCTCTTTTTACGCTTCTTCTCGGACTCTTGGGAATCACGTTGATGCTTCTGAATCTCCTCCTCCTTCGTCATGCTGCTTTCTTGCTCCACAATCGAGTCTTCGGTGTACTGATCGATCTCTTCCTTTTCAATAATCAAATATTCCTCCTCTTCTTCAGCCTCAGTTGTGCTATCTTGCTTGGAGATCTCACGAATTTCTGCAGCCAACTGCTTTTGTCGCTTCATCTCGTCACGGCTGAATACGGCTTCGATTTCACGCACAACCTCTTGCTCCTCCTTGAGATCGTCTAGCTCGCGTTGTTTCTCGGCATCCAGTTCCTGTGAAGCGGTTAAGTCTTGTAACTTCTTCGCTGCTGTTGCCTCATCAGCGGATGGTGTTGATACCAAGCTGGAGTCTGTGGTGCCACCTTTATCTAAGCGTGACTTCTTCAAGTCTGCTTTGGGTTTAGCCGACTTGATGGGACTACCGGGCGCGCGTTTGGTTGGCGAAGCGCCACGTGGACGACGTGAAATAGGTTTTCGCTGTTGCACCTGTTGTTGTTGCTGTTGGCGAGATTCTTTGCGCTCGGTGGCAGTAGAGCGCGTCGTCTCACGACGTGTGGTTGCTGCTGTGGAAGATGTGCTGACTTGGCGTGTTGCCTGTTGTTTTGATTCGAGTACCTTGCGGTTATTGGCATCTTTGGCGCTCTTAGCTGGTGTGCTGCTGGGACTAGCTCTGGTGGCACGTGTGACCACGCGGGGCTTAACATCACGTGGTGCGGTAGGCTTGGGTGCTACTGCCTCCTTGCGTGGTGTCGCTGTGGGTGAAGCTTTCTTGTCTGCAGCCAAATCCTTGCGTATGCCTTTACGTTCCATTGACTTGGGCGGTTTTGTGTCGATGCGAGAACGCACCACAGGCTTAACTTCGGCGCGTGGCTTGTCAGCTTTGCCTTTGGAAGGTTTGCTAGGCTTGATGACTTCGGGCGTGGGTGTGTCCTCTTTCTGTGGCACCGCTTGTGGCTGTGGCTTAACGATGACGACTTCAACCTTTTTCTCAGTTTCGGCTTCTTTGATTTTGTTGTCATCATCAGCCACTTCGCCCAAATCTGGTTTGTCTTCATCTTTACTTTCGACTTCGGTAGTTGGTTCGGGCATAGCCTCGTCGCCGGTCTCGGCAGCCGGCTCATCTGTGTCAATGGAATCTTCTTTTTTCTGCAGTGCGATTTTCTCTTCAGCCTCCGCCTTGGTCTCTTCGATTACCTGTGCCGCAGCGACTGCAGCGGCCTCCTTGATTTTATTATCTTGTTGCACAGCAGCGGCAGCTGTGAACTTGCCTTTGGACGGTACACTTAGCGGTTCAATGGGTGCGCCAATAGCAGACTTAAAGGTCTTACGTGTGGTCACCACTGTCTGTATGGTTGGCGCAATTGATTTGGCAGTGCAGGTGGAGTGTTTCATGAACTCGAGATGCTTGAGTTTTTCCAAGCCCTCCTGCACCTTAAAGTCGGGTGTGCTACCGGGGAAGAGTATACGTGTAATGGTGTCATCTGGATTTGCGGGTTGCCACACCAAGAGTGCACAGATGGAGACCAAGTTTTGGAGTGGGAAATTGAATTCGCGTGTATCGCGTGCGCCAAAGAGACGTTGATCGCCACTATGCCATTTAGACAGGAACTCTTTTACTTCCTTCGAGTCACGTGCAGGGCTGATAACATACATATCCAATGTACCATGACCGACTTTGTGATAAAGATTGATGGGTTCTTGATTGCGATAGCAGCTTTGTGGTTTCAAGTCCAACGATTTAAGGTCGCTGACCAAATTATGACCGTGCTCGAAGAGATCCACCAACAATGGATCACGATCCTTATCACCATCGGGGCTAGGCAGTCCACCCTTGCGATCGGGCACATTGCCAAAGAAGTGGCCAATTTGTGGATAGACATGAGCGTCGCGCTTGCGTGACACCACCGAGCTGATACCCTGTATGTTACTGTTATTGATACGTGTCATAAGCACGGCATCCAAGCGGTCTAGGTGTCGTACAAAATCCCAGAAGCAAGCCTTGCGATTAAAACCGCCATCGACTAGAGGAAGAGAAAAGAAGATATAGACAGAGTTTCAGATATGCTCCCATCTGAGCTGAAGCTCCGCCGCTACTTACCCAACATATTGAAGCCGTTGATGCCGAAAAGTGCAGCATCACCCTGTCCACCGGGGAAGACATACAGTGTGGGATGTGTGAAGCGTATATTACCCACTACCTCCGAAGTCTCAAGCAGTTCGCGTAGTGATGTGGGTACGAGCATTGGTGCGAGATAGTCTATGGGATTTATGGAAAAAATGAAATAGTTCCACATATTCTACATAACGGTTTGTTTACGTTTCAATCATACTCACCAATAAAAGCATTAATACCCTCACTGCTGGTGTCCAACACGTCAACGGGATTAATGCGTATCTTACAGAGGCGTGCAAAACTTTTATGCGGCAAGCTGTGCCAGTGCCCGGCATCGGCACAATGTATATTCATTGTAATCGTGTCGGCGTAGGCGCGTATGACACGCTGTACATCGTGTTCTTGGAATGCCTCCGAGAAGTCGGAGACGGAAAAGGTTCCATCCTGCAATCAAGAAGTTCGAAGTGATATTTACTTGCCAAGAATGTGTATACAGCAGAGAGAGTTGTGGTACAAAGAGCTTGGTAAAAAAAGAATTCAAGGGAAGCGGTAGAGGGAGGGGTATAAGGTCATAGCGAGCTCGATTCATGTTACCGTGAAAAAGTTAAACTCTCAGTCACTTCATAACGAGAATTGTCTGTTCAACTGTTGCGAATGGAGGAGATTATCGCAGTTCGGTAAAAATTGTAAAAGCACTGCCATTTAGTTCGAGCTTAACTAAAAACCTATTGATACCAAAAGCTTCTAGGCCTTAAAAGCTTCTATCTGAACTATTTTCGGTTCTCGCTGTGCTTATGCATTTGATTAGGAGTATGATAGGAATGATGGCGTTGAATTTTGGTTGCCTTCGCGGGCAGACATAAGACTTCAGGTGGTTCACAGCTCATCCGGCTAGAGTCATCTCTTTATTTACGAGTTTTTTTTAGGCTATAGCCGAATAGTAAGCACTGCGTACTACTATAGTTAGCACTACGTAATTTTTCTAATTAGGGATCGCACCTCGGAAGAGAATGTTGATCCCTCCGAATGTATTTCTGCCATTAAATCAAAACGAATAAACTGAAGATCTCTCCATTTATTGAGAACACATCAAGACGCATACCACAATTTGGAGTATTACCTCAGCCGTAAAGCCCTACGTCTCCTCTAACATCACTTCTTTACCGAAATTTAACGCACTTTGCATATCGTTTAAGCCTGAAAACTTCTTTAGAAACAGAGCTGGGCTTAGAATGCAACATCGTAATGTCCAAAAATTGTCAATCCCGCCATTTCTTTACTAACAGAGTTTGGCAGGAAAACTTGCATAAGGTCATGGCTTAGCGTAGAGCCAGGAGGCGCTGGACTATGAAAGATGATCTTCTCACTAGATGGAAGAAGAGTGACCAGTTTTCTTTGTAGTACTTTACACCTCTTCACTAATTATTACTGAACTAGCCGAACCATAGGGATGAGGATTCTCTCTAAATTCTAAAACTGAATATAAGACCGCTGTTCTCTTGCTTTGATTAGCCATAAGCACATGTATAGAGATGCTACACTCTTCCACGCTGCTCTTCAAAACACTCACTTCTCTCTTTTTGTTGCGAAAAATCTCTAACGCTTACTCACCTGTAATATCCAGGAACCATTGCCAGAGAACGTATAGCCAGCGTGTATAATGTGACGATGTCGTGTAAAACTACTCAGTAGATTACGCATACATTGTATGAGTGTATTGTACTGAGGGTGTATGAGTACTTCAGTGACTAGATTCTCGCTAGCATACTGAATGAGTCGTTCGCCTGCAAGAGAGAAAAATTTTTTTATTCTATTAAATTTTTATTTTTTTTTTAATTAAAAACCAAATGATTTACTATTAAATTGAAGAGTGGTATGTGGTATGTGGTATGTAAGTATGTATGTACCAATTTCTTAAACATCAAAACTCACTTTATTATTATGTTCGTAGACTCATTAATTATTTAGCTAATAAATAATCTATTAGAAGTGTTGAAAGCGCGTAACTCAATTATGCAGGTGTGTGTGATTTATTATGCCGAGTTGGTGTGAGAATTCATTTGGGAAAATGTGGTAGTTTAAGACAATTAAGGCGGTGTGAATCACAATCAAATATAGATTGCTCCGACCGCCAATTAAAGCGTAAATAATCGTGGTTTATGCTCTGCTCCCTCAGTTTAATCAAACTAGTGGGAGAGAGTTGCTCTTTTGCTCACGTAATAACCTAAATGGTGTCCGGAAGATGGAGTAGTAGTGAAGTTTCATCTAGTGCTGAGAAAAATCAACAGCAAACCGAAATTTTTTTCAGCTCTGAATAAGTCAGACGACGTTATGTACTGAGAGATCGAGATAGAGAGAATCAAAGCGCGCACTTCGGTTACCCAATGATTCTTTTACTAGTTGGATTTACCACGATTTTCTGCCTATTTCATTCTCCAAATTTGTGATAGGCGTCTTGATTTTTTCCAGGACTTACATTCGCCTCCGAACGACCGATGGATTTTTATTTTATATTTTATATCAGAAATATACTCATAGAGCTTGACATTACCTGCCGAGCAGCGAGTGCAATCAGAAACAAAAAATTCCATAATTTTTCGATAATGGTTATAGTCAAAGCGTGGATTCTAACAAACAGAGATTTTCGCTATGTCAGTCGACGAGCTCGTCTAGATTGCATATTGAAGGCTGTTTTAGTAAGCCAAGACTAAGCATGTAGACGGTTTGGTTATGGAATATATTGGGTTGCGCAAAAAGTAATTGCGGATTTTTTAAAAGAAAGTAAATGCATTTTTAATAAAACTTAGAATGAACTTTAATCAAATATATATTTGCCATTTAGTTCGATAAGCTTTTGCCATCTTCCGGGCAAATTTAGTATTCCACGCTCATAGAACTTCTGTGCGATATTATAGCCTCATCATTGTCGAAAGTTTTACCATTTAAGGAGTTCTGCAAAGATCGAAATAAATGGTAGTCTGATGGTGCAAGGTCAGGGCTATATGGTGGATGCATCAAAAGTTCCCAGCCAAGCTCACTCAGTTTTTGGCGAGTGACCAAAGATGTGTGCGGTCTAGCGTTGTTCTGGTGGAATATGACACTTTTACGATTGACCAATTCTGGTCGCTTCTCCTTGATGGCTGTATTCAATTTGTCCAATTGTTGACAGTAAACATCCGAATTAATCGTTTGGTTCCTTGGAAGCAGCTCAAAATATACGACACCCTTCCAATCCCACCAAACAGACAGTTTGACCTTCTTTTGGTGGATATCAGCCTTTGAAGTGGTTTGAGCTGGTTCACCATGCTTGGACCATGATCGTTTTCGACTAACGTTGTTGTAAACAATCCATTGTTCATCTTCAGTTATGATTCGTTTTAAAAACGGATCGAATTCATTGCGTTTAAGGTGCATATCACAAGCGTTGATTCGGTGTGTTAAATGAATTTCTTTCAATACATGTGGTACCCAAATATCAAGCTTTTTCACCAGTCCAAGACTTTTTATGTATTAATGAACGGTTGATTTTGGTATATTTAACTTCTCTCCTATCTCACGCTCAGTTACATGACGATCCAATTCGATTAATGCTTTGATTTGGTCATCATCAACTTCATTTGGCCGACCTGAACGTGGCTCATCTTTAAGTGAAAAATCTCCAGAACGGAATTTGCGTAACCAATTTTGACACTGTCTTCCTTTTAAGGCTTCATCACCATACACATCTCGTAACTTTTTAGCAACCTGCTCTGCGTTTTTTCCTTTACGGAAATAATAAAGTAAAATATGACGAAAATGCTCCTTTGTGGGCTCCATATTAAAATTGACGCCAAACAAACAAATGTAAAGAAAATTTCGCGCACTTTTTTTCTAAAGCAAGCTAAAAGTAACAGCTGATAACTGACAGAAGAAAGAGTGCAATTACAGAGTCACAAGCCGTTGAAAAAATTTGTCAACGCCGACTATATGAAAAATCCGCAATTACTTTTTGGGCAACCCAATAAATGGCGATTTCTAACCACTGAAGCGATTTTCGACTGAGCTCCCGCAACCGATTACACTGACAACTCAAAGTAATTAGAAATATTCTAACGAGTTCCTCGGACATTTAGTATGTGTAATTTCAGATTATCACTAATTTAGTGTTATCGCTTTTTCATAGTAGAACAACGTGTATATATAAATATTATTCATTATTAATTGTTTAAAGAAGCATTGAAATATATTTTGATATTTTTTCTTTTGGAACTCACATTGTTCAAGGTGATATATGAAATATGACACTTTCGTATAGATTACAATTTATGTATGTATGTACTATATGCGCATATACATATATAGACTTCCAGAAACCATATTTCATACCAAGTGTGTTGAGTGAAAAAAAGATAGGGACGCACTGTTTTTATGTCTTCACAATTCACATGTGGCTAAACTTGAAACGCCCAAATGTATGCTATAAAAATATGAAATAAAAAGTAGGGTGTCCGACACACATGCCAACAATCAGGGACGCATATGCACACATATCTAGAGTGAAGTGTGTCTGTACGTACGTAATAAATGCATACAACAAGGTCAGCTGCGCCCACAATTCTAGATATTTTATATAATTCTTTTTTTTTATATTTGTACTCGTATATGGAAAATATGTAAATTTGAAAATTTTATTTTTATAGCAGTTCAGCTGTTCACTACTTCATTTTGGTATTCATACCATTTTATGTGTGTGTGTGTGTGTGTGGGCAGTGGTGCGGGTCAGTGTTGTCAAGTAGTAAGGGCACTTAGGTGTTATTATTTTACCACATACATACATACATTGCATATAAAATATATTTTTAATTTTTTTTTTCGGCTGTCGCATGCTATAATTGCCCCTTCTTTCTTCCGACTGAGTGCGTCCTATAAATACGTATGCATGTGTGTATGGGAGCTTGTAAGTGCTTACAAGCGGTTTTACAGTATTTTGGGTTATGTGGAAGGCTTCTTACCTTACTTGAGCGCAAGGGAATTGAATTTAGGGTGCAAAAAGCTCATTTGTTCTATTCAGAATTTGAAATAAATTGTTAGCCATACAAAATAAAACTGAAAAAAATTGAAATTGAAACCCTTATTTTAATCATTTCTGTGTAGCATACCAAACTTCAGGGTATCAACTGCAAAACTTTATGAATTTCGACGCAAAAATGCGTTTTCGTACATGGCGTAGCACCGCTGCTGTGCGTTAAAGTCCTTCGAAATCGATGACTTTCACAGAAAACAATTGATTTATGTCGCTCAGATAAATTCCAAAGTTTTATGTTTTTAACTTTAAATTTAAGTGAGATATGCTTGAAAATTACGTTTTTCAACCATAAATTGTATGGTCGGTATACCTAAATAATGTCTTATATCTCAAATTTTTTTTGACGATATTTTAAATCTAATATGTAGGTAGAATAGCAAGTTTCAGATTTGTAACTGAAAAAACGTAGGAGTTTTGACCCAAATATACACATTCGCACAGCTGAGTTGTATGCCAGTTATGTGTTATAGTCGATCGATTTCTTTGATTTACACAGTGATTACTTTTCCCATACATATATATATAGTGACTGCTTTTAATTTAGGTAAGTTATGCTCGAAATTTGTCTTTTTTTGGTATTTTGGTTTGCTTGAAAGGTATACCGTACAATTATCGTATCGAGTTAATCTTTTCTGTCAGTGCTTGTACTCTAATATTTAAGCATAATACCATATACGCCACCACACTGTATGATTTTTTTTTTTACTCAAAAACGCATTTTTGAAGCATTATTTGTACAATTGCTATATTACACAGTGGTACGATTTAGCTAATTTTTAACAAAAAAAAAAAAAAAATAAATGACTTATGACTTGTTAGCAAACACCAAAATTTAATGCGCACAGCTATTAACCGAATTGAGTTATGCTCGAAAATTGTATTTTTGAACAATAAGTTGTATGAGAGCCATAAGCTAAAGTTGTTTGATTTTATTGAATTTCACTGTCAATATTTCTGAAATAACATACCTGCATCTTACAAAATTTCATGTGCTTAGCTTTTGTATTAGTGAAGTTATTCACTAAAATATGATTTTTGAACCATCATTTGTATGGGAGCCCTATCCCAAAGTTGTTCGATTTCAATGAATTTCACTGTTAGTATTTCCCATATAATATCCCTTTGTAATACTAAATTTTATGAGCTTTGCTTCTGTATTAGTGTAGTTATTCACTAAAATATGATTTTTGAACCACAAGTTGTATGGGAGCCATACGCTAAAACTGTCTGATTTTAATGATTTTCAAGATCAATATTTCTTTAATAATATCCGTACATTATACTATGTTTCAACTACTTAGCTTTAAAATTATTAGAGTTATTAAGCTAAAAATGATTTTTGAAATATCAATTTTGTTGAAGCTTGCTGTTGTATTTGCATGTTTTGGTTTATTTCTATAATCTTAGTAATTTAAAGGTACTAGCTCAAGGTAGAAACCCGCAGTATGAACTATGTATTATATATTTTATTTACTCCGAACTGTAAGTCTTTTTACGATTCAAAATTTTTTTAACTGCAACGAAATTGCTAAACTCAATTTATTAACTCTTTACTTTTTTTCGTAAATCCACGAAATGTATTCTGTACATTTCAAAAGTGTAGAAGGACAACTGCGTGTCTCATAAATCATGCAAAAGTAGAAGAAATGACAAACTCATTAAATATTTTAATTACATCAACGCACCTGATGGCGAGTGAGCGAATGAGCGGATGAGAGT